ATTATCATTAACTTAGATTGTCATTAAGCAGGAGCAAAACCTTAAAATTACAGAAGAGTATTACAAAGGAAGTAACAAAAGAAGAAAAGAGAGAAGGAAAGAAAGAAAAAGAGGAGAGGTAGAGAAGAAAAGGGGGAAGGGGAAGGCTACGGAGGAAGCCGAGCTAAAGCATCTTCTTTGCCATTTTTGTCACGGTTGATATGTCAAAACTAGATCTCTTTACCAATAAGGGCAAGCTAAGTCTCATCTATAATTGAGGTCCATGGCCAAGGGGTCGATTGAGGATGGGTGCATCAATTAATCACATTTGTTGAATCACCCTCAATGATAAGTTTCAGACGTCTGTGATGAAGTTTAAAAACACCTTCCTTAATGGCTCTAAACTCAGCGTCGTTAATATCACAAAAAGTCCAAAAAGCTGTTGTAAGTTAGGATGATTTCACTATGTTCATTCCTGATGATGCCACCAAATCCTGCTTCAAGAACATTTGGTCTCACACTGCCATCGAAATTCAGTTGAAGCCAACAAGTCGGGGTGGAGACTAGCGAGAGGACTTCAACACTTTCTTGGGACGCAACAGCAACAGTTTCGAGAAATTCAAAGAGAAGACCTCTTTAGGGTAGCACTTGAGGGTCAATAAGGCTTGAGCTCATTGTGCAACCCCTTAAGAACTACTTGTTGAATGTGTAGACATGAGGGTGCATCCTTAGTGTGAGGGAAGGCCCAAGCGGACCACACTCCCTTTATGTTTGACATACATTACAACTTGAACGTAGGTGGGGAGAGGTTGCACCTCTTCATGAGGGGGTTAGTGTCCCATGAATGGCATGCACCATGCACCATAAGGGTGCTCATTCATGAGGAGGTTACTCCCTCACGAATGAGGGTCATTTCTCTCATTATAAAAGGGAGAGAGGTGGAGGTCTCTACACTCCCCACGACATATACACGAGAAAGGTGTGAGAGGTGTGAGAGCTCTTATTATGAGAGAGAATGAGTAAAATCCCCCTCCCATTCGAGTTCTAAGGAAAGAATCAGTCTTGAGAGATAGAGTTGTGCATGAGAGTCGAGTTAGGACTGCTGCTATCGTATTTTGTGAGAGTGTTCGTGAGCTTCCACCTAG